TAAAGCATTTATTTTCTTTAACGTGGGGTTTTGGAGGGGGGGGTAGCATATAAAAATATGCTCCCCCCCCCCCCCCCCGGGTTATCCACGCTTTTTTTGTGGTAAAGCGTGGTTGCGAGCCAATTAAATCGTTCACGGGCCGCGGTGACCCCTTAACTCCCCCCCGCCCTCCCCAAGTAAAAAACAATCCTCTACATAGCGCAAATGTATGCAATCCTTGAGATGTTGAGTCCTCTCCATCTGTCCAAACACTGGGCACAGCGACCTCCTCCCCTCCCTTCCGCTCCGCTACGCTCCCTGAGTTTTGTAAATGCTTTTTCTTTCAGGGCTTATCTCTAAAACCCTATCGGGTTAAGGTTTAAGTCGAATAAAAAGAGACGCCCCGAAACCCTAAAGGGTTTAAGGCTTAAAGCCGATAGGGTTTAGGGTTAAACCTGAAACCTGAACCTTTAGATCCATAGGGTTTCAAGGTTAAGCAATCACACCTAAACCCTTAACCTTTACATCCAAAAGGGTTAATAGGTTTGAAGATTTAAGATCTAGGTATTTAAACCTAAGCTCATAGAGTTTAACCCTTAAGGGTTTACGATTTAGGCATCTAAACCTGAATCCTTTAGGGTCAAGACCCGGAAAGCCTATGGGGCTCTAAAAGCCTCAAAAGTTTTAACCCTATAGGCACTGAAGGTATACATGCCCAGACCTTAGGTTTTTAAGCCTTTAAACCCCATCAAGTCTAAAGGTGTAGGGATGTTCAAGGTGTATCTCTAAAGCCCTCACAGGGTTAGCCCGATAGGGTTTGAACCCTCTAGGCCTAGAGGGTTCAACAGTTTAGGGCTTAAGGTTTAGGCATTGCCTATAGGATTAGAGCCTGAAAAACCCTATATGGCTACAGGCGTAAACCCCTAAACCTAAAATCCCATATGGTTATGCCTCTGTTTTTAGGGCTTGGTGGACATGCAAAGAATGAGCAGTATCGGATTCAAAGGTTTAGGGGTCTTCAAGGTTTATAAGCCCATAGAGTTTAAACCATAAGGGCTTACGGTTTAGGCATTTAAATCTAAACCCTAAGCCTTTTCGGGTCAGAACCCTGAAAGCTTATGGGGCTCTAAAAGCCTCAAAAGTTTCAACCCTACAGGCACTGAAGGTATACATGCCCAGACCTTAGGTTTTTAAAACCTTTAAACCCCACAAAGTCTAAAGGTGTAGGGATTTTCAAGGTTTATCTCTAAAGCCCTCACAGGGTTAGCCCTATAGGGTTTGAACCCTCTAGGCCTAGAGGGTTCAAAGGTTTAAGGTGGAGGCATTACCTAAAGGATTAGAACCTTATAGCCCTGTGTACGACTCACCTTTACGTACTATTTGGTGGTTCTGTTTCCCCTTTCAAAGTTTAAAGGGTTTTAAAGAATTCAAAAGGTCGGCGATCATCGATGTTTCCTATGACAGGCTTCGACATGATGCATTTGAATAACTAAATTGTGTAAATCCTGAAAGGGGGGGCTTTAATTTATTTGAAGCGGGTGGGAGAATTGAATAGTTAAAATAATGAAAATAATTAACTAGATTAGTTAATTAATCTAATTAAGCTATTTAAATGAATGAGAATACTCTAAATCCTGAAAGGCCGGAGGGGGGGGGGGGCAGCTCCTTCCTTCTGAGGGGGTTTCAATACTTTAAATCTTTAAATATGAAGCCCCTATTGAAACATGAAGGCCCCCATCAGATTTAAATTATCTCTTCTTTTTTTACGTTCCCTTCGCGGGAGGGGGCCAGGCCCCGCCCCCCCATCAGGATTTATTAAACTATTTAAAATATTAGAAATATTGAGTTTTTTAAATGATTTAATTAAACAATCTCCCCGAATTACATAATTTGAGTATGAAGGTCTCTATTTATATATGAAGGCCCCTCCATATTTACTTTATCTAATTCTCTTCCCCGAATTAAGTAATGTAAACATGAAGGCCCCTCCACATTCAAATTCTTGACTTTGGGGGAGGGGGGGGAGACTTAAATAATTAAAATCTAAATAGTTTGAATACATCAAATCCTAAGAAATGGAGGGGGGGTAGCTCCCCCCCTTCTGGCGGGAATGAAACAGCTAATCTTTTATATGAAGATCCCTATTTAAATATGAAGGCCCCTTCAGATTTAAATGATTGAATTCCCCCGGTGGGAGGGGGCCAGAAAACATTAATGTAAATAAGCTAGATAATTTAAATCCTGCAAGGGGGGAGGGCGGGGGGGGGGGGCTCTCTGCTTCTGAGGGGAGTCAGATAAGTTAAATAAGTAAAAATGAAGGCACCCTCAGATTTAAACTTCATTTAATTCCCCTGCTAGGCCCTCTTTCAGGATTTAATTGCCTAAAATAGTTTCTTTATATAATTTATGTAAATTATTCAATTCCCTCCCCGAATGAAGAAATGAAATATGAAGCCCCCTTCACATGAAATTGCATACACTTGGTGAATATTTAAACACGAGGGCCCCTATTTAAATATGAAGACCCTTCCATATATACATTATTTAGTTCAGGGGGGAGAATTTATATTTTAAATAATCCAAATCTTGAAGTGGGGGGGGGCAGCTCCTGCCTTCTGGGGGGAAACAAAAAATCACACAATTTACATATGAGGCCCCTATTTAAATCTGAAGGCCCCCCCCCCTCAGATTTAAATTTGTTCATTATTTAATTCTCTTCGCTGAGGAGGGGACCGGGGCCCTTTTTCAGGATTTAAATTATGTAAATTCTTAAACTATCTATATATATATATATGTTTAAGTGGCATTTAAGTCCCTCCCGAATTCACTAATTTAAATATTAAGGCCTAATTAAATATGAAGGCTCCTCTATTTCTTAAAATATTTAGATTGCTTAATTCTCCTCGCCGAATTACATAGTCTAAGTACGAAGGCCCCTATTTAAATAGCAGATTTTTGAGGCCATCAGATGATTTGATCTGTGACATGGAGAGGCAAATCTGCGATTTCAAATCTGCGAATCTGCGTTTTCTCGGGAAAAACGCTGATTTCAAATCTGCGAATCTGCGTTTTTTCGGGAAAAACGCAGATTCGCAGATTTGCAGATTGGTTGGGGGCTACAAATCTGCAAATCTGCGTTTTCTCGAGGAAACGCAGATTCGCAGATTTGCAGATTAACTGGTTGGGGCTACAAATCTGCGAATCTGCGTTTTCTCAAGGAAAACGCAGTTTTCAAATCTGCGAATCTGCATTTTCTCGAGGAAACGCAGATTCGCAGATTTGCAGATTGGCTTGGGGCAACAAATCTGCGAATCTGCGAATCTGCGTTTTCTTGAGGTTTCGCAGATTCGCAGATTTGCAGATTGGTTGGGACTACAGATCTGCGAATCTGCGTTTTCTCGAGAAAAACGCAGATTTCTAATCTGCGAATCTGCGTTTTCTCGAGAAAAACGCAGATTCGCAGATTTGCAGATAGGGGGCTGCAAATCTGCGAATCTGCGAATCTGCGTTTTCTCGAGAAAAACGCAGATTCGCAGATTTGCAGATTGGTTGGGGGCTACAAATCTGCAAATCTGCGTTTTCTCGAGGAAACGCAGATTCGCAGATTTGCAGATTAATTGGTTGGGGCTACAAATCTGCGAATCTGCGAATCGGTGACCTGAGACGTGGGGTTTTGGGGGGGGGAAGATCTGAGACGTGGTTTTTTTTTTTTTTTTTTTGGGGGGGGGGGGGGGGGGTACCATATATATATATATATATATGCTCGCCACCCCCCCCCCCCCAAGATCTACGTTTACAGGTTTCCAGAACCCAAAAAAGGTCAAAAACGCCCACATCAGGATGCCAAGAAGCCCAAACCAAAAAAAAACAAAACCAAAAAAAACATTATTCTGAGAGTCTTGGACAGGTGAAACCAAAACAACCCAAACAAAAAAATAAAATCAATAAAGTCAAAAAAAAACAAAACAAACAAACAAAAAGAACATTATTTTCGAACTCTTTACGACACGGGGCAATGATTCCCTTTGTCCAAGAGTCTCGGAACTTTTTTTTATAATTGTTTTTTGGCTTTGGTTTTTTTGGTTTGGGGGTTATTGGTTTTCTTGGGGGTTTTTTTTGGTTTCCAAGAATCTCAGAAAAATTGTTGTTTTGGTCCTTTTGGTTTTGTTTTTTTTGGTTTGTGGGTTTTTGGTTTGTCTGATTTTGTGTTTCTCTTGTAGAGAAATAGCACGTGCCCAAAACCTAGAAAAAACACTGTGCTTTTTCAGACGCGAAGTGCCTGTACTAGCAAATATTGAACTAATACTGTACGAAAGAGGCCGAGTGAACTATCCTAGTTTTTGTTCACTCATAGAATATCTATTGCAAAATGTAGCGATTGTGCTCGGCAATCTGCAATTTTGGAGACAAGATGCTTTTTTGAAAAGCAATTCGTTCTGTTTCTAGAGAAGCAGTGCTTGTCCCAAGCCCAGGGAAATACTCTTCTAAGCACATAGTGCGGCAAAAAGTACTGAATTACGAACTCTTAAACAGAATAGTGTACTAGATTTGACTTTAAGACAAGCAGTCCTCACATAGCGATGAAGCACTGCTCGGGCAGCAATTAAATACCACTGTACAGATTATATTCTGTCTCAAGTGCACAATACGCATAGACAATTTGCCTCGTGAAGATCATAGTACTCGGAATTCCAAATCCTAAAGCCTTGGGAGAATCTCTGGCGAAGTTTGGGCTTTTGGTTTTCAGGTGTTTCGGCACAAATAATGCAATTTTCCTAAGCAACGCTTTTTCCAAGCAAAATGTTGATTAAATAGGCAAATTAAATACTAGTAAAACACCTGGTACATCTTTAAAAGCACACCAATGCAATATTCATTGCATAGAAATTCGATACTAAGTACATACTGGTTTTGTCGAATCAGTGTGAATTCCTATTTTCAGCTTGCTTGGAGTGAGCAATGAAGGACAGCTATTGGGACACATGCCGCAAGCCGCCCGACAAGCAAGGCTTGGAGTGCCCATGACGCTCCAGAACTTGAAGACCTACCAAGAGTTGCTTTCAGCGAAAGGGTGTTCAGGTAAGCAGCTAGCAGCTTGCTTTCAAACTTCTGCCCGCCTCAGAAGTCCAGACGCGAATCTGGGCAGGAAGCCGAGTACCGACGCCACACCGCCGGCGTCGGTGCTTTGAGCAAGAAGCACTTCTTGCTCACCGGATGGCGTGGTGATGGTGGTGCTCGCCTGGATCGTTACAAATCCGCTTCCCTGAGCTTCACTCACGACTCGCAGCACACCTTCAAGATCCAGTGGCTGACTTGGCAGGAAACTGAGGCCAAATATGAGGCACTCTCCCGTATCAGAAAGGGTACTCTTCGATATCGCAAAAGCCCGAGCGACAAGGACATTTTGGATCGACGTGAAGCGCAAGAAGAAGGCTGGGCAAAGTGACGTCGCTACAATGGACAAGATCGCCCCCGACGACCTCCAGGCTGAGGACTTCGACATGAGTGGCTTGGACATCCGCGCCATGGATGTGGATGAAGACGTCAAGACTCTGATCATAGAGCAGCAGCAGAAGAATGCAGGGTCGTCGGACTCCTCCGACTCAGACTCAGGACAAAACCGAGATCTTAGGGGGGAAATCCAAGAAAAGGAAGAGCTCAGCAAGCAAGACCAACAGCAGTGCCAAAGAAGATGAACGCGGGGTAAAGCTTTCTCAGCTGGAGGGTGGCAAGTCGGAGTATCGCAAGAAGCTCGAGGCCTTCAAAGAAGGCTGCGATAAAGATGAGAAGTTCCACAAAGCTGTGCTCACCTGCTTGCCGAAGGGTGTAGATGTGGATGCGAAGAAGTTCGTCTAGGCAGCCCTCAATGAACTGCAGACGGCCCTGAAACTCATCGAGGCTGCCCTCAAGAATCTCACAGCCCCCCCGACGTCAAGAAAGCCTTGTTGGCTGGCTCGGGCGCCCTCAAGAGGCAATGAGCCAAACAACATCCACCGAGACCTGATGAAATATCTTTTTCGTGGCAAGATGATGTCACCGAGCCTGCACTACATCAGCACACCTTGGGTGGTGAGGGAAACCTCTGGTGTGCGAAGGTGACCAAAGACGAGAACATACCAATCATGCTGCCGCATGAGTGGGTACAGTCCCTTCAAGAGATGCTAATTGCAGATCAGTAGGTTTTCTTTGGGGAGAATTGTATGAGTATATCATTGTTGCCTCTTGCTTTGCCAGTAATAGCCTACAAACACCCTTTAGTGAAAACATGGTCGGGAAATTGCTGGATATATGGATGTCGAGCCAAGTATTGTGATGTTGAGGCTTTTGTTATGTACACTGAACACATGTAATTAACGCTTTTGCTTTTGTCATGTTTTTTGTGTCGCAGAATTTTGAGGAGTGGCCACTTGGAGAGCTTTACTGCTTCAGCTGAAGACTTGAAGAAGTTCTGGGCACAACAGTGCTGGGATAGCAACCCCCAATTCCAACCAGACAAAGACTTCTGGAATTCACTGGATTGGGAGAGTTGCCAATACCATGGGTTTTGCACGGGGACGCAGCCCCATACAGTGAGGTGGACTCCATGCCTGTTGTCAGTTTCAGGTGTATGATTACTTCTAGAAAGGTGGCCGCTTTTCTGCTGTCGGCCTCGGTTCCAAAACAAGACAGTACCAGGGACACGTGGACCAACCTCTGGGATGCAATCGTCAGATTCCTTTGTGAGCCTTGCGAAAGGCAGATCTGGCAAGAACACGTTGAGAAAAGGTGTCCTGATGTGCATTGCAGGAGACCTTGAATGGTTTAACCAGGAATTCGGCTGGCCAACAGCTTCCTCAAATTTTCCGTGTCCGTTTTGTCGTGCCGACAACATGTTCGACTTGGATTTAGCTCACAGGCCTTTTACAGATTTTCGTCCCACTGCCAAGTGGAGGGAGTGCACTTTGTGATCCGGACGAGACAGAGATGAAGCCACATGCTCTGTGGCGAGCGCTTGGTGTATCTTTCTGCACCTGCAAATTGGACCTGCATATGGCCGATTTGGGGCAGCTGCATTTGTATTCAGAAATGGTTTGTATACAGGGGTTTAGGCCTAATATTTGTTACAAAGCTTGAGGTTGCAGGATCTGTCCCAAACTTTTGCTCATTTTTTTGGCACCCCCCCACCCCCCCCCCCGCCGAGGTAAGTTGCCACATATACGGCAACCTCTTGAACGACATCATCGTGGAAGAGCTCCCAGGGTCGTGGGAGCCCTCACTGGTTGCCTTGAACAAACAAATTGCCCAGATCTCAGCAGAGATTGGTTTGCCAGCAAGCAAAAGGATTCCCAAACTCATCAAGAGTGACATTCAAACTCCTAAAGGCTACCAAGCTTTACAGCGAAAGCAAGAAGGGCAAACACAGGCTGGCATTGTGCCAGGCTGCCGAGAGATTTTACAATATATGTGATCTCCCAGACTGGGTGTATGATGACAGCACAAGTACAAAGCTGAGAAAGAGCATCGAGGGTATGCTTTCACACTACAGCTGGCTGGCCAAGAATGCCATGGATGCTGGGGTCATGCAGTACTCCGTTGTTCAGAAGCACCATCTCCTTGCACACTATGTTGCCATATGTACATACATGGCACCTCGGACTTGCTGGTGTTATGGCCCTAGAGTTTTATGGGCATCGTCAAAAAGATAGCAGCTTCAAGCTGTCGAGGTAGCAGCTCGCACTTGGTGGCCAAAAAGGTCCTGCAAAAATTTTCTATAGCCAATCAGCTACTGTTGAAGAACTGGCTGGTTGTGGATGAGCCTGGTGAGGACGCTGCGTGAAACACCCCGGAGAAAAAAGACGTCCAGTGCACTCCAAATTTTGAGGTTTGAAAATGTCTGGCAAGACAACATCGCTGGAAACATTAGGCATGCACACAGAGATCACACAGGCACAATGTTGGGGAATTGACTGGAAAGTCACAAACATATGCAGATATGCACACACTCCAGTAATTGTAACTAGACGTCATGAATCAGTGTATGTACATCTGTAAATACATATATTCATATTCAGATATAAACAGATATATCATATATATATACATATATGATATGATATGTCTATTTATATCTGTATGTATATATATGTGTGTGTGATATATCTATCTATCTATCTATCTATCTATATATATATATATCTGATAAATCTATATCTATATCAAAATTTATATCTATATGTAATATATATATATATATAATATTATATTCTAATTCTAATGTGTATATATATGTATGGATATATATATATATATATACTGTGTGTATACCCAAAAGTAAGAGTTCCCTACTCTTCGCATGATTTTTCTATTATTCCTCTATTGATTTTCAACACGATCGATTCTAGCCCATTCTCTTGATTCCTCTATTGATTCTGGATTTCTTTCGCTCTCCGCTTGAAAAAACCAACGGCGCTTGAAAAAAAACAATCTTGGATCCTTCGGGTACGGAAGCTTCTTGAGCCGACAGAGGCAAAACATTGCCGAGGTACGGGGAGACGGTGTATCCCCTGTGGGACGCCCACACACTCCCCGTCTACGCAGCCTGTGGACAGGTCGTCCGAGAACTGCAGTCTGCTGCAAAACCATGCTCTTGCTTTGCATTGTTGTCCCGTCACATGCGTTCAACGGTTGAGGAGGATCAATCACAAGGAGCACCTACTGCTGCTTGGTGTTGCGAACGTGGGACCTGCAGTAGGCTTCACAATCCACCTGCTCTTGGGCCCCTGAGCAAGCAAGAGAGTACATCTGGGAAACAGATTCTTTCTAAATTGCAGCAGAAGATGCAGTCCTCTGCGGCGAAAAGTGGCCTCCAGCCACAGTCCAATAAGCAAACGTCGCTGAATGACAGCGGCTCGGAGCGAATTCCTTCAGAAGTCCTCCGTTTGTACCTCTGTCGGACACTCTAGGTGTTTGTTTGTTGGGTCTAGGGTTGACGACATGTCTTAGAGCGTTATGGAGTTATTTTGGCGCTTGCAGGATACGGTGGATGGTACCACAAAACTCCAGGCAAGGCTTCAGCATTCACAGCCAGGGTGGGTTGGGGGAGGGTTCGAGGTTTGCTTCTCAGGCGTATCAGCTGGAAATGTTTAGGAAAGAGTAGCCTGCTTGAAGGTTGTCGCGCTTTATTTCGTGATTGAAGTTCGTGGGGGAAATTTGGGAAATTGTACAGGCATGGCATATGACCTGAAGGATTTCTTTGCGCTGCTGTGATGTTACATCCCCGTTGTTGATGCGGAGTGCGTCACATGTCGCGCAAAAGGTGGGCCCGTCGGGTCGTTCCCTAAGCTTGACCCCAAACATGTTCTGTTGTAAACCCTGTGTGGCCAGTGTTGGGGTCAGGGGCTTTAGATGTTTCGGACATGGAGTCAGGATTAAGGCTGTAGAAAACGAAGCCCGCTCCCCATTCCGAACCCGAATCCTCGATCGATACTGCTGGTGTCAAAGTGCCTGTTGCCCGTCCTCCATGGTGATGCCGTACACGGCAAGGCTCAGGGATCGGGTCGGGGGTGTGTCTGTGTCGACCCCGCCGAGACTGATGATGCTGCTGTGCTCAGATGGCCGCTCCTGGAGGCTGGGAGGGTCACAGGAAGTTTGGGGCTTTAGGGTGCAGGGCCCAAGCCTAAACGCCACCTTAGGTGGCCCGAAGCCCTACCTAAGTTACTTCAACAAACCCGAGACTTCTTGGAGGTTACTGCGAGACAAGGGGAAACAGCTTTCCTCAACACTATGCTCCTCCTACCTCCCTGAGCAATGCTTTGAATCAAGCAACATGCTCGTGTTTTGTGGTTATCCTTGCGCAAATTAGCCCCTGGCGCCGAACCTTGAACTCAACACCCTGATACCCGGCAAAGTAGCAGGAACTGTACGAGTCTTGGGAGAAGAGGGATTTTCGGGGGTGCGAATTAGGAATCAGATCGCTTACGAGAAACTTTGCTTTTGCGCGCAGCCCCCAGAGATGCCAGCTGTTTGGGCCAAAGTGGGTTTTGAACCAAACGCCCACTTTCCTAAACCATGGTGCGATCACTTATTTTGCATCAACGAAAATGCATTCTCACAGTTCATTCTTGCTACCATACCGGTAACTTTAAGTGCAGAACGCGCGTGCATAAGTCAACAGACCATCCAAGAAACGGCAAGAAACGAGTTAGCCTCGTCAATCCTTGCTTCCAAGCTCTGCCCTCCTTCTTCTCCCCGTGACCCAAGATCGGACACACTCTTGCTTACGAGCTTGTGCTTGTGCCCTTCCCGTCTGAAACAGATCTGATGCAACAGGCTGATGTCACAAGCAACTCTGAGGCAAGCTGCACTGTGTGTCCCTGAAAGAATCAAAACGGGCGACGTGCGGGATGATGCGGGATGATTCGCAAAAAGAACGCTTTGATGCAGTAACTCAGCTGTATAGATGCACGAAGGCTGATACTCGGATGCGGACATATTGTCTTTCTGAACGGTCTTAGGACTTAGGGCCGGGTTTCGAATTTCGCAATTTTGGGTTTGCACGGTGGGTGGATCCAGGGCATATCACGCGTCCAAAAGCCCGCAGTTTGCCTGTACTTACTGTAGATCTTTTGGGGGGGGCGTTCATTCCTTCAGTTATTCTGCCACTCACATTCTAACCGCACGAACCCACTTTCTCCATTCAGGTTGTTGCATGCTCTTGTCGTTCAAGTCGTTCTTTCTCTCCTCTGAGCAGCATGAACTTTGCTCACCAACGTGCTACGCTACTGCTACACACTGCTACTTGAGACGTGATACAAGGTCACTTTTTTGCAAGTGAAAAGGAAACGAGGAAAACGCATCCCGCAGAGGCCCGAAACCAA